CCTAACCTAACCTAACCTAACCTAACCTAACCTAACCTAACCTAACCTAACCTAGCCTAACCTAACAAATACAGTAAATTTAAGATTAGGAGAGACTGTGGGTGGAATTTTGATCAAAATCTTTGCAAAACTGCCCACACTGTTAAATATTCACAAGTCGTAAGAAGTGTCCAAATTTAAATCGTATAAAAATGTCTTAAACGGATCATTACAAATGACATGAACGATAAGAGCTTTTGAGGAAAATTTGAAGTTTCATTTGATTGTTTTGTAAAGAAAGTATTATATAAGGCAATTACAAATCGAAATTAAGTCGGTTTAGTAAATTTCTCTTTCAATCCATAAAACAAAATCTCATCGAAATCATTTCAGTTTCTTTTGAGCTGAAACATTAGGGCAGTTGACACCTCGTCATTTTATGCGCTCTATGGCGAAGGTCCGATAAAAGACTCTGTCGATGAAAAAGTGACTTTTGCAAAGTAAACTAGATTACTCTTAAATACACATTATTTCCAAAACGCTTTTGAAAGTGACACTTATTAAATCTGTTGTTTTGAAACACCTTCGATCTCTGTCTATTGTGGCCACTTAATTCTTGAATTTGGAAGCGACGTTTATTTTTTCGAAACATTTGAACCTTTGATCTCATACATTTAATCTATGATCTTCTTTTGGAATGAAAGACTGAGTTTTAGGTCCACAGAAAACAGCACTTAAATTTGTAATTTTCTATATTTTAATCTTCATAGTTCGGAGGACGAGAGATCGTGAACTGATCGGAGGCTAGCAATCCCCGAAGTTAACCAGGTCTTCGTAAATTCTATTTTGGTCAGATACGTAAAATTTGCCGAGTACTCGAAGAACGTGTTCATTCATTCCATATTATAATTGTGTAACGATAAATTTGATTTATACGTGTTCTAATAATGAAAAAAGTTGTCAGTGGAACCACGGTTCCGGAGAATTTGACGTAAATACGTCTATACGGAAAGGAAGTTTATATATTGGCTTTATTCTAAAAATTTCCTTTATACATGCTTTACATTTGAGATAAGTTTGATTAAGACATTACTTATTTAATTTGAATTAATTACACTTAAGATGGGTCTGTGGTAGATGAATGTAATGTAATGTTTTATAGGTAACAACAATGCCGAGTAAACAGATGTTTCTTAGGTAACCATTTTTATCGATTTGTTGATAAACAGATGACGTTTCCTGGGTAACCATCTTACACATTTTCGACACACTTTTTTGCGGAATGACACTGACCCTAAAATATAGACGTATTTACGTCAAAAAATGTGGAAAATCTGGGTATTTGGAAAAGTCTTTCGAATTTGTTATTTAGGAAGGCCTGGACAAAGATTTTGCGATACCTAGCATTCCGTCTAATATTATTTGAATGTCTAATATTAGTATATTACCAGTGGACGTCGAACCGAGCATGGGGATATAACACACAATATGTGCGACTCTGTTACGTATTCAGAAATGAAACATTCAACATTCATCGTTTCTATGAGGACAGTGTTATATGTTGAACATCAAAACATCAAACGATGCTTAGTAATTAGAGTTGCGCTATGATGTTTGTTGGAAGACAGAAATCAACCACCGACTATTCACTCAAAGCCCCAGATGCTATTCTTCTCATCCAGACACAAGGCTGGTGCATCATCTATAGAGGCGAATCACAGCGCCGCCC